CCYAAAATGGATATGCATTCATCACTTTTGATGTTTCACATGGTATATATARATGGAAATAAGACCCTCATATGAGAGATAACATTTTGAAAACCGAAATCAAAGCTAGGAAACAGAAAATTCTTACTTGATGTTGAAGAATCAACAAAGAACTTCAATGGCAGACTGTTTCTGTTGTGCTTTAACTTTTTCATATACCCCTTTCAACCATATATTAAAGCTATAACCATATTTATGTTGATTGTGCACCTTCTATTCGATTATAGAAAAAAAAAGATAAGAAGGATAGAAGAATTGATACATACAGATCCAAATTGTGTTCGACTTTAAAGACTTCGGTAATAATGCATCTATCCTGGTAGACCGGGTTTTCCAATCCTATGCACACCACCACCCAGCAACCCATCCCTAGTTCCTTCTTCCAAATAATAATAATACTTAATTTGGACGCAGGGACATCCAAAGGCAAGAACATTAAAGACTGCACCATTGATATACCCTAATTTATGTATAGCTTTGTTTGAGGGTACTTCTGCTACCGGATCTCGTGCTTATGCCCCTAGTTCAACTCGTGAGAGGACTACGATTTCATCTTCATCATTTACATCCAATATCCCTACTACTCAAGAAACTGAAAATGAGGTGGATGGAGATGAGGAGGAAGGACCAACTATCAATATTGCGAGCACAATTCCATCTAGACCAAAGAAGAAGAGTAAAACCAAGGTCGACATGGATGAATTGGCTCTAGAAATGAGGGGTGCACTTCAAACACTTGTTACACAACAAGCCACACTTGTTGAACAACAAACTGCACTTGTTGCATGATACGTACTAAGTATTTAGTACATAAAGTACCTTTTTATTCTCTTTTAGATAGGTTATTTTGCTTTCATATCACAACTTTGAGTCATTTTATCTTTTTTCTCTGTTTTTATGCTAAGAAGAATGTTGAACCTGTTTTAGTGGATTTTGGTCTAAATTGAGCTTATTTTGGACAGATTGGAGCAGGTCGATGTTATGGGAATGTGGTAGCATGACCTGATGGCTGATAGAGAGATGGATGAGACTTAGAGTTGACTGATATGACTTGGGAAGACATATGAAAGCCTTCTAAAGTTGATCCAGCTGTAGTTGATCAGATTAGCTGGAGTTGATAAGACTAATTGTAGTTACTTTCTAAATATTAGTTTACTATTATGTACTATTTAGTTTCTTTTGAACTAGTTGGGTGTGATTTTACCTTTTTACCCTCACTCCAACCCTAGTATAAAAAGGGATGTTGGGAGGAGTATTTGACACACCTTATTTTCACCACACCTTACTACTTGCTCTCTAGTTCTTTTGTTCTCTCTTCAAGTAGTTTGCATGCTACTTGAAGAACAAGTCTCTTAATATTATAAATCTTTTGGTTACATTTGAAGTTCTTTAATTGCTTTATTTAATCGCTTTATTTATATTATCGTTATTTATATTTCGTCTTTAATTTATTTACGCTTACTTGCATTTTATTTACGTCATTTATTTATTACGCTTTCCGCATCTTTATTATTCCGTCATTTACTTTCCGCATTTATATTATGTCTTTATTTACCGCACCTTACGTTTCTTGTCATTTACTTTTCGTCATGAGTAGCTAAGTTTATTAGCTCGGGTGTATGACGAAAAGGGTGAGTTTTTAAACCAAAATACAGTCGACCCTTTCATGTAACAACGATGTTTTACTTTTTCATTTCAAGTTTTATAAAACCAATGACACTTCTTGACGAATTAATCACTTTGAAAGTATTAAAGTGTCGTGGACTCTAAACTGAGTCATTATTTGCACGTCAACTTGGATGATATGGGAAGTAGACTTGAGAGAGTTGCTAACAAAGAGATTTGTTGTCCGTATTTTCTAAGTTGTTAATTCTCGACGGGTTGATCACTCTGAAGTGTTAAAGTGGAATGGATTCAGAGATGAGCCATTCAGAACACGTCAACTTGAATGATATGGGAATCCACTCGARAGGGTGATTTTTAACAAAGAGATTTGTTTATCCATATACTTTGAAGACACCATTTGTCACTTTCACTGGTCTGGATACCTCATAGAGATATGAGTTGAAAGCTATAATATCAGTGCATTGGTGAAGTCCGAGAGGAGTACCTTCAAAGTAATTGGTAAAAATAGTTGTTACTGATTGCATGCTGTAGCAATCTGTCAGCATGGTTTCATGCTGTAGCATTTTGACAACATTGGTCGACTGGAAATAGTATTTACATCTCATCCGAAAAGTCATACACCCTAGCTTGCTTTTATTATCTGGTATCTCCTGTTTTTAGTTGTGTTAACTCCGTTCAAATCTAAGTCTTCGAATTCGCCTTCTGAAATCATTTCCTTAACTTTACTTTCTTTTAAACTTTTACTACGATCCCTGTGGACGATATCCCGTATTTGTACCACTTTTATTACTTGAAAGACGATATTGGGACTATTTATATACTTGCTTTTAGTCCTGATTGTTGTTTGTGGCTGTGGTGTTTCACGCCCACCCATCATTGCACAACAAACCTCAAACCTGAATGCTTGTTTTGAACGGTTGGACACTCTTTGCCTTGATAAAATGAGTCCTCTTTATGGTGCAGCCATTGACATTTTTGGGCAGTCAACATTATTAAGAGAGACATGGTTGTCGATCCCTTTAGAAGCTGATATATTAACATCATGGATTTCAAGGACGGCAAGACGAATGGGGCTTATGGATTAGTTTTAAGAATTTGAACAAGTTACTTCTTTATGTGATTTGTATTTGAACATGTTATTAGCTTATGTGTTTGATATTTGACAATTTGGTTACATGTTTTGGATGTTGAACTAGTTGTTATTTGGTAATGCATTTGATATCAAAGYTTACTTCTATTTGACATTTTATTTATGTTTTTAACAGGTTTATCATGGATAATAATCAAATCATCATTAATAACAATAACAACACTATAGTTCTCATCGTCGTATTTTTATATATGTTCTACTTGCGACAAAGGCGCTTATTAAAGGAAAAGAGATAATATGTATGCAATGACTGGACGTCTATTTACGAATGAGCTACTTGAAGGTAGTGATCGACAATGTATTGACTTGTTGTGCATGTCCCGTGAAGCTTTCATTCAATTATGTGATCACTTTAAAGCAAAAGGTTGGTTAACGGATAGCAAACATATATTGGTTGAAGAAAAAATGGCTATCTTCTTGATGATTATAGGTCACAATCAACGTTATAGAGTGTCGAAAAACAGGTTCCAACACTCAACACAAACAATTCATAAATTTTTCATGAAGTGTTGGATAAAATGATGGAGTTTGCAAAAGAGATCATAGTTCCTACATCATTCAATCCTAATCCAGACATCCCTGGAAATAATAGAAGGTTACGACGAATTTTTAAGGTAAATGATAATTCAATAATATATGTATAACTTTCCTTACTAAATTTATTTTGACTATTGAGCTTTAATGTAGGTAGCAATTGGCGCCTTGGATGAGGCTTTAATTCATACGGAAGGAAGGTTTAAGTGATGAGCTATTTTCTGAGTATGATCAAACCAACGAACAAGGGAACGATGACGAGGATGAGGCTGAAGAGATTCAATCGCATGGGAGTGCTGCTGACCAAACATATATGGCTAGTTTAAGAGAAGAAATTGCGACACAATTAATGCAAAATGAATATTGATTCTAGTTGTTATGAGACTTTATTCATGTTTTCTATTGTGTGTTGAATCAATTGACGTATTTCAATTGAATTTTTGAATGTGTTAAAAATATATGGTAGTTTACAAATGGTTTAAATGATTGGATATTTCAGTTAAATTTAATTGAAATGAATTGATTCAGATTTCAGACTTCAGAAGTTTGTCAGTTTATAAAAACAAACAATCTTATTGATTCAGATTTCAGATTTCAGACTTTTGACGTGAAAACAAACAGCCTGACTGTTTCAGACGTAAAAACATATAGTCTGACTGATTCAGATTTCAGACTTCAACACCACCTCTTAAAATTCAGAATTGAATTCAGACTTCATCACCTCTTAAAAAACAAACGCCACCTTAGGGTTCTTTTGGGCTAGCATTCGGTGGAGGATCTACGCGTGTTCGTGTGTAGATCAACTATAGAGGAAACTGCGTTTGGTTTCTAAGTGCAGCTTCAGATTTTTCACTAGATCCTAAAATGTACATTCCTAAACACTCTATGGTGTGTTATAATTTAATTAAATGTCTCATTGAATCCAGCTTTGGATTTTAGATTAAATTTTTTTTTTCTAAATTATTGAACCAAAATTTTATTTTCCGTTGCGTTTAAGGTAACATTTTTTTTATAAAACCAAACAGTCTCTAACATAATCAAACCAATTATAAACATCTTAGATTACAATATAAAAGTAAACATAAATTCAAACATCATACAACTAACATCACGATTAGACAAATAAACTAGATTTTTTCGTGAGCATTATTTAAGGTGTTGAGGTAAAATGGATAGAAGTCTTTTAAATTTTAATGTTGATATTTTTTTAATAATATTATATATATATATATACATATATATGTGTGTGTATGTACATAAATTAAAATTAATATATAGACACATATTGGGTCGGGTCGGGTCGGGTCGGGTCGGGCGGTGATCACTGTCCCCGCCCCCGTTAAAATCTTCGATCCACGCCCCGTCCTTGATATCCTTGAACTCTATCAAAAAATTTCAGTTTTTGATTTTCATGATCGCTTTCGTTTTTTTTCTCCTTAATTTAAGGTACTATAAAGAATTTTGTATGTACAAACAATATGGGTATAAAATTTAAAGATGAACTACAAAAGTCAAATCGCACGGACCAAGAGTCGTAACCACGGCATGCCGAAAGCCTGTCAACGCCAGGTCACCTTATCTTTCCTCGTGGTCCGAATGATTCCTCCCTCTCCCCCATTTACACCTCATTTTCAAATATATACACCATCCTCTGCTTCCCCCAATATCCTTCTGGACTATACATCGGAGCCTAGGGTTTCATTTGCCGGCCACTCGAGGTTGCTTTCTACTGCTTCTTCGATCTAAAACTTAAAGGTTAGTTCCAATTATTTTCAGATGTATATCTTCTTGATGCTTTTATTGTTTTGAATTTCTGATCTGAGTCTCTTGACATTCGTTACGGATCCATGTCGAAATTGCTTCGATTTACATATAATTGGGATCATTCTATTTTGATTTCTCACATAGTAGTGAGCAAAAATTGATTTTTTACTAGTTAGTATGACCTTGCCAGTTTCAGTTATGATTGTTTGATCTGATTCTGAGTTTTTTTTGTGATATACTTGTGATGTGAATGACTTAGATCTGTAAGTATTGATCGAATCTGTCTACTTTGATTTGTGTCTTGTTTACTGACCGGGGATCTGCGATCTATTTGAATGCATGTTTGATTTCACGGTATTTGTTAAATATGTGAAGATCTGTCGGGATGCTCATCGAGATCTGTATAGTTACGTAGTTGAGGATATTAACTGAAAATCTTGAAGGTTGGTTTGATAAATGTGATCGTGCTTCTAGCAGATATTGCTGGGTTGTTTGTGCAGATTTCTTTCTAAAGAAGTTGGAAACTTTTGGTGAAGAATTGGGATGTCAAAAACTTTGTGGTCTCAACGTATTGTATTTTGATATTTGTGTTGCAGTTCTATAAAAATGGCCGACTCTGAGGATATTCAGCCCCTTGTTTGTGACAATGGAACTGGAATGGTGAAGGTTAGTAATAGTTCATGTGTTCCTTTTTCTTTGTTATTTTAATGGTTTAATTGGATCATTGTATATTTAAAATAAAATTAATCTGCTACCTTTGATGCATTATATTTGGAGCTTTTTGTTCTTTGATGAAATCTATAGGCTGGGTTTGCTGGTGATGATGCTCCTAGGGCGGTCTTTCCCAGTATTGTTGGTAGGCCACGACACACTGGTGTTATGGTGGGCATGGGCCAAAAGGATGCTTATGTGGGAGATGAAGCCCAGTCCAAAAGAGGTATCTTGACTTTGAAATATCCTATTGAGCATGGTATTGTCAGCAACTGGGATGACATGGAAAAGATTTGGCATCACACTTTCTACAATGAGCTACGTGTTGCTCCTGAAGAGCATCCTGTGCTTCTTACTGAGGCACCGCTAAATCCCAAGGCAAACAGAGAGAAGATGACTCAAATCATGTTTGAGACGTTCAATGTTCCTGCCATGTACGTTGCCATCCAGGCTGTGCTTTCTTTGTATGCGAGTGGTCGTACTACTGGTTAGTCTCTCATTGCTCTTGTGCTCTTAAGGATAATCTCAATTGCTTACACTTAATATTATGTTATTATTCCACAGGTATTGTGTTGGATTCTGGAGATGGTGTGTCGCACACAGTCCCAATTTATGAAGGTTATGCGCTTCCTCATGCCATCCTCCGTCTTGATCTTGCTGGTCGTGACCTTACGGATTCCCTGATGAAGATCTTGACGGAAAGAGGTTACATGTTTACCACCACAGCCGAACGGGAAATTGTCCGTGACATGAAAGAAAAACTTGCATATGTGGCTCTTGACTATGAGCAAGAGCTTGAAACCGCAAAAAGTAGCTCATCTGTTGAAAAGAATTATGAATTGCCTGACGGACAAGTTATCACAATCGGGGCAGAGAGATTCCGTTGCCCAGAGGTTCTCTTCCAGCCATCACTAATTGGAATGGAAGCTGCTGGTATTCATGAGACTACCTACAACTCGATCATGAAGTGTGATGTTGATATCAGGAAGGATCTTTATGGCAACATTGTGCTTAGTGGTGGTTCAACTATGTTCCCTGGTATTGCGGACCGAATGAGCAAGGAAATCACTGCTCTTGCCCCTAGCAGCATGAAGATCAAGGTGGTTGCACCTCCAGAGAGGAAATACAGTGTGTGGATCGGAGGATCAATCCTTGCATCTCTTAGCACCTTCCAACAGGTAAATTAATCCCCCACCCCCTTTGTAATTAATTATCTGGCTACAGATAATTAGTTCTGTGAGACTAACTTGCTTTGCTTTTGTGTGAATCAGATGTGGATTTCCAAGGGTGAATATGACGAGTCTGGCCCATCTATTGTCCACAGGAAATGCTTCTAAGTATGTATCTTGTTGCTTTTGATGGTTGGGTCTCCATCTAGTTTGTTTTGGGTCTATATTCTTCATCTATTTTTCGTGTTATGTTTTATGTGAAGTAAGAGATGGATGGATGTCTGTGGAGTTGTTAACAAACAAGAGGATAAACACCATCTTCGTCATTCATCCTCTGGTTTTGTGTTGTACAATTCCCACATCATTTGTCCATTTCTGCTGGGGATGTTTGTAGTCGAAGATTGATTGTGCTGTTCTATCCTATGTTTTCCCTTTAGTATCATTTGTGGTCGTTTTCATCATTTTAAACAGATAATATCTATTGCTTTGTTAGCGGGCTTCTAAACAACCATTTGTTGATAATATATTCATTTAATTGCATCGAAATTTATCTTCCTGTTTTTGTTGTATTTAAGAAATCTCTCTGTTTCTTGGCTTGTAAAGCTGTTTCTGCAGATAAGCATTTGGAATTCATTGTGCTTGTATTTCTGCTTTGCTGTTCTTACTGCTGATTTTTCATCTCTCTCTCTCATCCACTTTCCACAAGTAGGGTCTTCATAGAAACAACCTCTGCTTTATGGGGTAGAGATAGGTTACGTCTATCTACATTTTACCCATCTCTGGATGAGATATATTAGATTCTTTGGTTTGGTTCGGCAGTGTCTACCTTATGAGTTCTATTTAGAGTGGAAAACTTGCAATTCCTCCCAACTCATCATGTGTTGGGAGTTACTCATAGATGATGTAGGTGCCTGCCTGCCATTATATTTTTTGGTGGATTCCTTTGAATATACCATCAAATTCACCACTTGTTATTCTGGCATCGAAATTTAAGAGAGAACACCATAGCCAAATGGAATCCATTATATATGTCATGTAATCATAAGGTGTGGTAGTGTATTATGTTGACATCTATATATAGATCCAACAAATTTCACATGGAGATAGGGACTAGACGACATATGTATATATTATCTAGCCAACTACCGTGTTCCTTGACATTTGGGGATAATAATCAAAGTTGCAACTTATATTCTATCTGGTTGCATACTTCCACAAATAGTTGACGAAATATGGAGTTGTTATAAAGTCATCTTGCCTAATTCTATTCTAACACCCCCAAATCCATACATTGCATATAACACATATTTCATATATAGAATACATGTTTTCCCCCACATAGGTCCTTGATACAAGAGTCTATAATGTAAAATATGCAACCCAAAAATTCCGAAAGTACACGTTCTTGCATCCTAGCATCTATGCTTCCAAAACCGCTAAACACATAGGGAAGTAATTCACATAATGCTCTTTCCCTTGTTCTCTTTACCTGCACACATATTTTTGAAAACATGAAATGAGGGTTAGACATGAATGTTTAGTGAGGTTCTTTTTTTATGTAATGCAGGGTGAAGATCACCAAAACATTTATTTCAAATAATTCATCTTATGTAGCAAAACTAAAATCATACTGTTTTGGTCCATCGAGCCTTTGGTTCCAAACCACACTTGGAATATATTTCAATAACTAGGACCAGAGCCCCTCTAGTCTCTCTTCCAGATCTTCTGGTTCCTCGACCAGAGCCTCTTTAATTAGCACAGAATCTTCAAATCACTTTTGTGTATTAATCTTTCTCAAGAATTCTTTCACTGCCACACTCTTTTTCTCAAAAAGGTTCCTTTCTCCAAAAATCAAGATAAGGTATGATCTTATTTTTTTCCTTTATATATTTTTCTAACAAAGGCGGTGAAAACTTTAAATAATAAAGGTAATTTAGACGGTGAGTTTTTCATTATAAAATTCATGATTTCTTAACCATGAAAGTATAAGTTTTTTTAAATAATATAATAATGTTTCCACCAAAATATTTTATCACAAATATGCACCATCTCATGTATGTTTCACACTACATGCATATATGTATAAATTACATACATATCATGCCATCTTTTCHCATATAYRYATGCACAATATCATGTTCACATTTCACATATATAGTTCATGCATTTCTACTTAGATATGCATATTTCACGTAATCCACATAATAAACATATATAAATTACCTCAACTCAGGTTGTTTAAAACCTGGTTATAAAATTCTTCCCCCTTTAAAAGAATTCAGTCCTGGAATTCACTTATTCAAATAACCACGAATATTGAGTTCTCATGTCAGATTCTAATTCCCAAGTTGCTTCTAAACCTTTATGAAAACGCCATTGCACTTTTACTAAACTGATCTCCTTGTTTCTCAATACTCTGGTCTTTATGTCAGTTACGGTCTCTGGTGTCTCGATAAAACTCAGCTTATTGTCAAGTTTAATCTCAGAAAGTGGTATTGTTAAACTTGAGTCTGCCAAACATTTGCGTAGATTTGATACATGAAAGGTGTTGTGAATTAAGCGAAGTTCTTCTGGTAATTCCAACTGATAAGCTACCGGTCAATTCTTTTGCAGATTTTGAATGGTTCAATATATCTTGGACTAAGCTTACATTTCTTCCCAAATCTCATAACATCTTTCCATGGAGATACCTTTAACATTACAAAGTCACCAATGTTAAATTCAATCGGGTTTTCTTCGTTTGTCGGCATAGCTTTTCTGTCGATCCTGGGCAGTTTTGATTTTTGCTCGAATCTGGTCAATCTWTTCAGACGTTACTTGCACAATCTYGGGAYCTGTCAACTGTTTTTCACCTACCTCATTCCAACATAACGGCGTTCGACATTTTCTTCCATATAGGACTTCATAAGGTGTCGCTTGGATGCTGAAGTGATAACTATTATTGTAGGCGAATTCTATCAACGACAAATGTTCTTCCCATGATCCCCCGAAGTCGATGACACAAGATCTTAACATATCTTCGAGAGTTTCGATGGTTCTTTCACTTTGTCCATCTGTTTGTGGGTGATAAGTCGTACTTAATCTGATTTGTGATCCTAAAGCTCTTTGCAGACTTTCCCAGAACTTTGAAGTAAAACGACTGTCTCTATCAGATATGATGGACAATGGAACTCCATGTCTAGTCACAATTTATTTAATATAGATTTGAGCCAATCTTTCCAATGAATAAGTCTCTTTCATTGATAGAAAATGTGCAGACTTTGATAAACGGTCCATTATTATCCATATTGCATCATAAGCTTTTGGAGTTCGGGTTAATTTCATGATAAAGTCTATCGTAATATGATTCCATTTCCAAATTGGTATTTCCAATGATTGTAGATTCTTATAGGGCCTCTGATGCTCTATTTTAACCTGTAAACAAGTTAAACATTGTTCTACATATCTTGCGATGTCTTTCTTGAGACCTGGCCATCAATAAAATACCTTCATATCTTTATATATCTTGTTGGTACCTGGATGGATGGAATAACGGGACTTGTGACTTTCATTTAGGATGGTTTCTCGTGTATTCCCATAATTTGGTACTCATATCCGACCTTGGAAACATAATATTCCTTCCCCATTCGGCTCCATGATGGAAGTTATCTTACCCACTTTTTTCTGATTTCTTGTTTTCTTCTTTGACAGCCTCTGTTTGGCATCTCTGTATTTTCTTATGCAAATCTGAGTTTAAACTTATTTTCATCGCCACTGCCTTGATAGTTCCACTTCTCTCTTTACGGCTCAGAGCATCGGCTACAACATTAGCCTTTCCTGGGTGATACAAAATTTCACAGTCATAGTCATTAACTAATTCAATCCATCGTCATTAACTAATTCAATACATTAGCTTTTCCTGGGTGATACAAAATTTCACAGTCATAGTCATTAACTAATTCAATCCATCGTCACTGTCTCATATTCAGATCCTTTTGGTTGAACAAGTGTTGTAGACTTTTGTGATCTATATAAATTTTACACTTCGTTCCCAATATGTAATGCTTCCAAATCTTTAAAGCAAAAACCACGGCCGCCAATTATATGTCTTGAATTGGATAGTGCTTTTCATGATCTTTTAATTGTCGAGATGCATATGATATGACTTTCCCTTTTTGCATCAAGACACAACCTAAACCTAACTTCGATGCATCATTATATACCACAAAGTCTTTAGTTCCATCGGGTAATGATAGTAGCGGAGCACTGCAAATATGATCTTTTAATAACTGAAAGGCTTTCTGCTGTTCTTCTTCCCACTGAAATTTAATATTCTTTCGAGTTAATTTCGTCAAAGGCACGACTATTTTAGGGAAATCTTGAATAAACTTGCGGTAATAGCCTGCCAATCCCAAGAAACTTCGAACTTCAGATGGTGTTTTCGGTGCCTCCCATTTTGCAACGGCTTCAATCTTTGCTGGATCTACTTTTACTCTATCCTCAAATATAACATTCCCCAGAAACTGGACTTCTCTTAGCCAAAATTCACACTTTGATAGTTTAGCATACAACTTTTCTCTTTTCAAAAGCTCAAGGATCAATCGAAGATGTTCTGCATGCTCTTCTTGGGTTTTGGATTATATAATAATATCATCGATAAATACAATGACAAATTTATCGAGGTATTCTCTACATATTCGATTCATCAGATCCATGAAAGCTGCAGGTGCGTTAGTTAAACCGAATGRCATAACCAARAATTYATGGTGCCCGTACCTGGTTCGGAATGCTGTTTTTGTTATATCACCTTCTTTGGCTTTCAATTGATGGCATCCTGATCGCAAATCAATATTTGAGAAGTAACTGGCTCCTACTAGTTGATCAAACAAATCATCGATCCTGGGCAATGGATATTTGTTCTTTATAGTCAGTTTGTTTAACTCTCTATAATCAATACATATACGTATAATGCCATCTTTCTTTTTCACAAACAGAACTGGAGCTCTCCATGGTGAAGTACTTGGCCTGATAAATCATTTGTCTGACAAATCTTTTAATTGTGTAACCAGTTCTTTTAATTCTGATGGAGCTAATCTATACGGTGCTTTTGCTATAGGTGCTGCTCCAGGTATTAAATCAATCCTAAATTCAATAACTCTATCTGGAGGTAGCCCTGACAAGTCTTCTAGAAAGACTTCACGATATTTACTGACAACCGAAATTAATTCTTGCTTATTCTTTTCTTTCTTGGCATCAATTATGTAAGCTAAAAATCCTTGGCATTTTTTTTGGATACATTTTCTGGCTTTCATCACAGATAGCAAACTTGTACGATGATCCTGATGATCACCATAAATTACGAGTGACCCTCTGTTAGGTAATATAATTCTAATCATCTTTTCATTGCAAACGATGCTGGCCTTATTTTCTGTCAACCAATCCATTCCTACCACCACATCAATTTCCTTCATAGGCATGGGAAACAATCGGATGGGTAGCTCACAATCCTCAATCATGATAGTGCAGTTTTTAAACATATAACTCACAGATACTTGACCGTTAGCAGTATCAACTACT